ATCCATCAGCTGCTCAGAGTTAGAATGACGGACAATCTCCCATGCAATTAACAGCCTCTGAAAACCCACTGGAGGATAAGCTTGGATCAGTTCTGACTTGATGGTACTCAATAAGGACCACCAACATAAAATTGTGATGAGCTCTGGTGTCCCACTCCTTAGAGAGGTGCAATGCTAACCCAAAAGCAAGACTTCTGTGGAATTTTAAATCCACCAGCCACTCTGCGACAGAAAGATGGACAATCTCCTATGCAGTTTGCAGTCTCAGACAAGCCTTCAACTATGAGTTGATTCTGACTCAACACTACTGAGGGCTTTTTAAATGAAAATAGCATGAAAGGAGCTCAGGTGAAAGTCAGTAGTAAGTTAAGCTGTAAACCCAAAGGTGGGACTGTCTCTGATGATTTGAACTTACTACTTTTCTTCACAGGAGAAAGAGATAAACAGTCTCCTCCTGGTTTTTATTTACAGTTTTTTTGGTTTTGGGGTTTTTTTTTTTTGGTAGCAAATCCAATGGAAGAGCTGAGTAGGAAGGTTTGAGTGGGAGCTGACTACCTCAGTGAGAAGGAAAGGAATAATATGAAGGAGGTACTCTTTAATTTTTGACTGATGGCTGTGACATAGGTTTTTCCTTTGGGTAGAGCTTTGATTCTGTGTCTCAAACTTTTATTCCGTTTTTAAACACTGTGTGCTTTCTAGCAGATTCATCCAGGATTTTGAAATTGAGATTTCTGTTTACTGTAGATATGGTTTCTGGCACAGTATTGCTAAAAGTAACTGCAAAACAGCAACAAAACGTTTATCTTTAAAGTAAAAACTATAGAAACAGTATATGAGAAACTTTTGACTGATGTTGCTTTGTCTTATTTACATGCACTTTAATGAATTGAATCTTACCCAATCCTTGCAGGAAAACTACAAGGAGGCATCAGTAACAGTTCTGCCCTGTTTTGTGCAAACTATGAAACATGTGTTGTCATTTAGCAAAATAGCTTCCACCAAGTCTGAAAAATCAAGCTACATTGGTGGAAATCTTTGGCCCAAATGTTTTCAGATCATTGTTGTTGTACACTATAGTGGTAGAATTGACTCAGAGCTGATAGTATAGCAGGTTTTCAGAAGGAGAAAACCTTGCAGGAGAAGATTGCTCATCTTCCTCTCATACATCAAATGGTAGATTAGAACCATATACCTTTGGGATGGCTGCAGAACTCCTTACTACTAAGTCACCAGTGTGCCCTAGGATTGTTGTTGTGTTGTTGATTGACGTCGAGTTGAGCACGACCCATAGCGACCCTGTGAACAAAAGGCCTGAAACCTTTCTCTAACTAGAGCCATTTCTCACACTTCATACAGTTTCCAGAGGTGTGTTGTTTAGGAAGTAGATGCTGCCCTAGGATTAGATCCCATAATTTTAAGTAATTTCACTAACAAATATACCTTAATATTATGTGGCTACTTGGTATATTTTACATGTGTGTGGCTTTATTTTATATTAATGTTATTTTGATAATACTATACTGGTTTTGATAGTCATAAACTTGTTATATAAAACTGGACTACCAAAAAACAAACAGATGTGTCTTAAAAGAAGTGCAGCCAGAGTGCTCCTTGGAAGCAATAGTGGAGAAGATTTATATTTCATACTTTGGGTGTGTAGCTAGGCAAGGCTGTTCATTGGAAAGGGATATTATGCTTGAAAAGATGGACGGTCAGTGAAGAAAAGGAAGATCTCCAACAAAATAAGTTGACATGGTAATTTGAGCAATGGGGTCTAGTGTGTCAGAGATGATGAGGATTGCATAAGCTAGAACAGGGCTTGGATCACCTGTTCTCAGAGTCTCTATGAGTCATCCTTGACTTGATAGCACCTAAGAACAACAACAAAGTTGTCAGATGGGGGAAAATCTACTATCAAGGACCTCTCCAAAGTGCTAAATATCAAGGATGTCAGTTTAAAGATTTAGGTGCTCCTCCCTCAACCATGGTATTTTCAATTGCTTCCTATGCATTTGAAATTTGGGCAATGAATAAGGAAGATCAAAGAATAACTGATGCTTTTGAATTATGGTGATGGTAAACAATAGTGAACATCCATGAACTGCTAAAGAATAAACAAGGCTGTCTTAGAGGAAGTACAACCAGAGTGCTTCCCAGTGACAAGGATATTGAAACTTCATCCCACATACTTTGGGCACATGGTCAGGAGATGCCAATCTTTGGGGGGAAAAGCTTTTGTTTTGGGGAAAATTGAGGGTCAAAGAAAGAGCATGCCCTTCGACAGAATGGATTGGCATAATGACTTATAGTAATAGGCTCAAGCATGTCAGAAATCCTAAGGATGGTGCAGGATAGGGCAGGTTTCTGATCTGTTATTCACTGTTACTGAGTCTTGATAAGTTGACTTGACAGCACTTAACAACAGTAGATGGACAATCTTCTCCCATGAAATGTACTGCCTGTGAAAAATTACTGCAAGTTCAGCTATCAGCCAGTACTAACTCCATATCAATGAGTTGAGTTTTTGCTGAGTGATATTCCTATGAATTAAGCTTTATCAGCAACTGTAGGCAATTTCAATACAGAACGATACTTCTTAAAAGGGCATTTTCCTAGTAAAATACTGTAAGATGTATTTAAGAAAAATTACAAATTTCATCTTAAAGGGAAAATAGAAAAGTTACTTATCTCAGTCTCATTGTCTTTGGAAACATTTAGCAAATTCGTTTATATGCAAATAGGTCTCTCAATTGGAGAGACTGTCTAGTTAAGCCTAAAGCAAGATTTGTATAAAATCCATCCAATTTGTTCTAAGTATATGTTATACTTTCAGTGGAAAACTAAAGTTCATATCAATAGAAGTGGTAGTTTTGAACACAAATCAGGTAGAATTTATCAAACTAGTCAATAAATATTTAAAAGCTGATTTTTAAATGGGGAAAAAACAAGGAAACAGAAGCTTGAAAAGTTATAATAAACCTTTCAGCAGTATTTATGTTTTGTGGTATATACATAGTTTTAAGCTCTTTTAGTAATTTGCTCTCACAATTTTCAGACACTAGATATTCACTATAAATTAAAGTTGACATATTTTGCTTTTTGAAAAATGGATATACCTCAAAACTACCAATGGACGTGTTTCTTTTTAAGCATTTAGAAGTGTGATCAAAAGATTTTTAAATAAAATTCATGCGCATCATGTTTATTGCTGCATTGTTCACAATAGCAAAGAGTTGGAAGCAACCCAAATGCCCATCAACAAACGAATGCATAGAGAAGCTTTGGTATACTCACATAATGGAATATTATGCAGTATTGAAAAACAAGGAACTTATGGAATATTATACAAAATTGGTGACCCTGGAGGACATTATGCTGAGTAAAATATCTCAGTCACAAAAGGACAAATATTGCAAAGGGCCACTGTTGTAAAACGGGACTAACATGGACTTGAGGGAAGACTGAGAAAGAGGAGATAAATAATGTATACTGCATTGAAACAGATGGAGAGAACTATTTAAAAGGAACATATGATTAGGTATTACTGTCATGACAAGAGTCCAGAATGAAGTCTGCACAATGGAGTGGACTTGGGGAAGAGATTGTATAATAATGAAAGAATTTTTCTTTTACTTTTCAAAGAGAAGAGTGAATTGGGGGGAAGGGGTAGTCAGGGAGAAAAGTGCAACAATGAATGAATGGAAACCCCTAGTCTCTGTAAACTTTTTAAAAAGAAAAATATTTTAAATAAAATTCATGATCAGGAGAGGAACTGTACTACAGTTTTAAATCCACCACACTTAGTTTATGGAAGGCTGGAGTCTGAATCTTTAACTCCATTTTGGTAACTTGTGTGAGTTCAGACACCATTTGAATTTCTTAAGGATGTATGCCTGTCATGTAGTTTTGCTTTCAGGGAAAGTACAATTGTAACCACAGCTGTCAAACCTGCTTAGAAAGGAACAATTACTTATCTAAAGTATTCCCCTAAATTATAATTCAACCACTATGTAGCCAAGCAGCAGAGGAGGAACCCAGATCCTATCTTTAAAAAAAAAAAATTGGAATTGAAATTTTAACGAAAGCTTATAGAGAACTTAGATTTCCATTCATTCATTGTTGTACATTTTCCTCCCTGCCCACACTCACCCCAGTTGCTTTTCTCATTGAAAAAAATTTTTTTTCATTGTAGCACAATTTCTTCCCCACTCTACACCCCAGTCTACTTTGCTATGCAGCTCTTATTCTGGCCTGTTGTCATATAAATAATACCAAATCATATATTCTTTTTAAGCAGTCCTTTCCCTCATCTGTTTCAATGCAGTGTACATTATTTATTCCCTCTTTTCTTAGTTTCCCCCCAATCCCCATGTCAGCCCTGTTTTATAACAGTGCCAATATGCAGTATTTGTCCTTTTGTGACTGAGATAATTCATTCAGTTTAATACCCTCTAGGGTCAACCATTTTGTATAATATTTTATAAGTTCTTTGTTTTTCAATCCTGCATAGTATTCCATTGTGTGACTATACCACCACCACCACTTCTCTATCCATTCGTTTGTTGAGGCCACTTGGGTTTTTTCCATCTCTTCGCTATTGTGAACAACACAGCAAAAAACATAGGTTTGCATCCAGAACCTATAAGACCAATCCTGGTCTTTCATCTGCAGAAATCTTTCTATAAGGATGCGGAAAATCTTATTTATAAAAGCAGAAGCAATGAGTAGACATAACTCCATAGTTGCCTTTATCAAGGGATTTTTCTATTCCTGAAATGGTCTGTTTGTGGTTGTGCTATTTATGTCTTCATAAAAGAATCAATATAGAACATGTCCAAATTTTAAGGTGTTCATTTCCCCTGAAACAATTCTCAAGTTACTGTACCCCATTTTATGTAACTGACACATTTTTTATGATTACTATATAACTGTCTTTTGTCATTGTTCATAATTCTGTCTTCCTTGCCACTTCTTACTACAGATGAAATTGGTTGATGAAAATGACATCGGTTAACAAAAGCCACCCAGAAGAATTCATTCTACTAGGCTTCACTGACTGTCCATGGTTGGAACTTTCTCTCTTTATTATTCTTCTGATCACATACCCTATGGCCATGATGGGAAACATTGCCATCATCCTAGTGTCAAAGTTGGACCCTCAACTCCACAGCCCCATGTATTTCTTCCTCACTAACCTTTCCTTTTTGGACATGTGTTATACCACAAGCACTGTCCCTCAGATGCTGGTGAACCTGGGAAGCTCCAAGAAGACAATCAGCTATTTGGGCTGTGTAGTTCAACTTTATTTTTTCCACTTTATGGGCAGCACAGAATGTCTAGTGTTGGCTCTCATGTCCTTGGATCGTTATATGGCCATCTGTAGACCTCTACACTACACCATCACCATGAATCAGCGAATTTGCACCCTACTAATATCCATTATATGGATCAGTGGAATGACTTTTGCTGTCTCCGAGGTCACTATCACATTACAGTTGTCACTCTGTGGTCTCAATAAGCTGGATCATTTGTTGTGTGAGATTCCTGTTCTGATAAATAGTGCCTGTGGTGAAAAGAGTGCTAATGAGCTTGCCCTTTCTGTGGTATGTATTTTTATTGTAGCTGTTCCTCTCTGCTTAATTCTTGCTTCCTATGCTTGCACTGGACAAGCTGTGTTGAAAATTAAGTCTTCTGAGGGAAGGAAAAAGGCTTTTGGGACATGTTCATCCCACCTTATTGTTGTTCTCTTATTTTTTGGCCCAGTCATTAGTATGTACCTTCAGAGCAACTCATCTATCACAAGGGACCAACCCAAGTTCATGGCTCTCTTCTATGGAGTGGTGACTCCTACACTCAATCCCTTCATCTACACCCTTAGGAATAAGGATGTGAAGGGGGCTTTAAGGAACCTGGTGAAGAGAATTTTAAGTTCCGTCTCAAAGATGAATTAACAAGTGAATTATTAAACAAATAGAGATTTCTGCAAAACGTTCTGTATTATTTTTCGCCTTGTACTTCTCAAATTTTTATGCCAGATTATACACTCACAAAATGTGTCATGTTTCTGATGTAATTACTTTTCAATTGTGTTAAAAATACATATTATACAATACTTACCATTTCAACTTTTTTTTTCAGTTGGCATTCATTGCATTGATCATGTTGTGCAGCCATCATCACTTTCCATTTCCAATTTCACTATTTTTTACAGAAACTCAGTAATTGTTCCATCTTTCTCATCTCTAGTTTCCACAAATGTGCTTTTGTCTCTATGCACTTGCCAATTGTAGCTATTTCATATAGTGTGTAATATACTATTTTCCAGTTATGACAGACTTATTTAACTTGGCATAACATTAAAAGGTTTATTCATCTGAAGCACATATCTGCAACATTATATTTCTGCCTATGGCTGAATGAACATTCCATTATATTAATTAAACACATTTTCTGTATCCATTTCTCTATTTATGGCAATTAAATTATTTCCACTTTTTTACCTCTTGAGAATTGTGCTACAAGAATATTGTCCAATTATCTGTTTGCATTTCTGCCTTCATTTCTTTTGGCTATTTATCCTGAAGATGAATTACTGAGTAATATGTTGATTTAATATCAATTTTTATTGATAATTTTAATCAGGATGATAGTTGAGTGTAGGAGTCACCACTCCATAGAAGGGGGCCACTTGCACTAGTATGTAGTTTGTGAAGATATATCTAAATCTATTTGGTCCATAATAAAATGATAGCTTTTTTCAAATAGTATGAAGTATGCTTATAATATCCCCTCACCTCATTGCCACTGAGTTTGAAATGATTCATTTTTGACCCTTCACGGAGTTTTCAGAGGCTGTAAACCACACACGAGGAGATGTCCATCTTTCTCCCTTAGAGGGATGCCAAATTGGCTGTGTATTAAATATGTAATGTATAATGTAAACGTTTAAGGTAAGATGTAAATAAGCCAAAAAATTATAGCCTGATCATAAGACAATTGTAATAAAACAACATTCACAACTGTCAAACCTCGAGGAAGTGAATTATTACTTCCTAGGTTCTTCATTAATGAATCATACCAACTTCAATATGGATTCCATCTCAACATCAAAAGACAAAAGTCTTCATCACTGGACCAATAAACAAAATCACAATAGATGGAGAAAGTATTGGGATTGTCAACAATTCATTTTACCGAGTTCCATAATTAACACCTTTGGTACCAGCAGACCAGATATATTGCATTGGGAAAGTCCTTTGTCAGGGACGTCACCAAGTACTAAGGAGCAATGATCTTTGAGGACAAAGGTGCTCCTGATTCAGGATTCAGGCCATGGTCTTTTCAATTACTTGCTATGCATCTGAGAGACATAATGAATAAGGGTGACAAAAGAAGGATTGATGCCTTTGAGCTGTGGTGATGGAAAGGTTAACTTGGGAAACTCCAAGAAGAAAAAAAGAAAAAAAAATCAGTATGAACCATGCCAAAAACTGAGTTTTAAAAATCTCTTAACCACTCTTAGGGAAATTAGTGGTTTTTTTTGCTAGCGGAAGAGTTGAGATGACTGTAGTTAAGTGAACAGACACACACATACACACATGCAGTGTCAATTTAACAAAATAAATGAAAAAGTTTTGTTAGAGCAATAAAACAGAGGCATAGCTGTGAAACGTAGAGGTAGGCAGTGCAAGAGTTAAAGTGGGGGGAAAAAAGAAAAGGAGGTTAGTGCCCCTGGAAAGGTAAGAATAGAGTTAAACCTTTTGACATAGTGCCAACAAAGAGAAGGGCCCCAGGGTAGGGTGCTTCCTTTATTATCTCCCAGAGTCCTGAGACTGATCATAGCCTAGTCCCACATAGGAACTTGTGGGATTGGTTGTAGTTTGGTTCTCCCGGATTACTGCAGAGGGGGTTACTTTATGGTGTAACTACTCTTTTGGCATCTGCCAGAAGTACCTCCACCAGGATTCTTATCACCCAGTTTATTGGAGCAATTGTTTTACATTCCTGTTTCTCCTGAGTTACCCAGCTTCCAGCCCTCTGCTAGGAGTGATTTTATCCCTTAACAAGCTATATAGGCTGTGCAGTTTAACTTTGTTTTTTCTGCTATATCTGGGCAGCACAGAATGTCTACTCTCATCTGTCATATCTTTGAATCACTATGTAGCTATCTGTAGGCCTCACTGATATACCATCATTATGAATCAGCAGATTTTCAACCTACTAGTATCTACTATCTGGAAGCAGGAGCGGCATCCACTTCCAAAATGGCTTGCCTCCGAAAACTCTATGTACAAACAGTGCTCAGGCCGTTCGTTCATAGGGTCGCTTTGAGTCGTCTACGACTCCACGGCATCAAACAACAATAAACAACAGTATCTACTATATGGCCCAGTGAAAGCTCTCTCAATTACAGCTATCACTCTGTGGTCTCAAGTGTTAGATCACGTGTTGTGTGAGACTTATTTTCTAATAAAGATTGCAGGTAGTTTAAAAGAGTGCTAAGAGCACTCTCTGTGATATGTATTTTTATAGTAGCTGTTCCACTTTGCTAACTTCTTCCTATGTTTGCATTGGGCAAGCGATGCTGAAGATTAAGTTTTCTAAAGTGGGAGAGGTACTGGATAATGAGTAGGAATGACAGAGAATTGATGCCTTTTAGCTGTGGTGCTGGAGAAGAGTGTTGAATGTATCATGGACTGCTAGGAAAACAAAGAACCAACACATTCATACTGAAGAGGGTGAAATCAGGCTGCTCCTTGGAGGCAAGGATTCTGAGGTTTCTTCTCACATTCTGTGGGCATGTTACAAGGAGGGATCGGACCTTGCAGAGGGACATCACGCTTGGAAGGGTAGAGGGACGGAGAAAGAGAGTGAGACCATCAATAAGACGTATTGACCCAGTGACTGGGCCAATAAAGGTAGGTGTGTTGGAGACAGTCAAGCTGGCACAGGATAGAGCAGGTTTCAGGGCTGTTGTATATAGGGTCACCGAGAGTCACAAGTGACTCAAAAAGGCACATAACAACAACAAAGTAAGGGGGAGGCTTTTGAAACATGTTCTTCCCACCTCATTGTTGTTTAAATTTATTGACCCAGCTATTAGCATGTACCTTCAGCCTCCCTCCTCCATTACAAATTACCAGCCCAAGTTCATGGCCATCTTTTAAGGAGCAGTGACTCCTATAGTCAACTCTATCTACAGGAATAAGGAAGTGAAGGTAGTACTGGGCAACCTGATGAGGGGATTTTCAGTTCAAAGTTAAAGATAGTTGACTGTAAATGAAAGTACTGAATAATTAGAATACGTTTTACCTGCACAACTGACTGGACATGATCCATATTTATTCCCATTCAAAAAAAAAGTGACCCAAAAAAGTGTGGAAATCATCAAACAATATCACTAATATCACATACTAGCAAAATTCTCCTGAAAATCATACAGAAATGATTGGAATAGTATATTGATAGAGAACTACCAGAAATTCAAGCTGAGTTTAGAAGAGGTTGTGGTACTAGAGACATTATCATCAATGTCAGATGGATCTTGGCAGAAAACTAAGAGTACTAGAGGAATGTCTATCTGAGTTTCATCAACTATGCAAAGTTATTGACTGTGGATCACAACAAATTGTGGCTAACTTTGAAGAAAATGGAAATTCTAGAACACTAGATTGTGCTTCTGCAAAACCTATACTTGGACCAGGAAGCAGTCCTCAGAACACAGCAGAGAAACAGAGCATGGTTCAAAATTAGGAAAGGAGTGCATCAGGAATACAATCTGTCTCCATATATTTTCAATCTATATGCAGATATACAGATCATTCAGGAAGCAGGGCTTTATGAGGAGGAATGTGACATCAAGGTTGGAGGAAAGCTCATCAACAGCCTACATTATGTAAATGATACAACCTTGTTTGTTGAAACTGAGGAGGACCTGAAGCACTTGTGCAGAAGGTCAAAGACTGTCGTCTTCAATATGGATTGAAGCTCAACATCAAGAAGACAAAGATTCTCACCAGTAGGCCAAATGGAAGCACCACAGTAGATAGAGAAGAGATTGAGGTTGTTAATAGTTACAGCTTGCTCAGCTCTACAATCAACACTCTTGGCACCTGTAGTCAAGATCAAAGAACCAATAGCACTGGAAAAATCTGCTGTCAGGGGCCTCTCCAGAGTTCTGAAAAGCAATGATGTCAGTCTAGAGACCAATGTACACCAAATCCAGTCCTTGGTCTTGGCAATTATTTCCTATGCATCAGAGAGCTGGATAATGACTAAAGATGACAGAAGAAGAATCGATGCCTTTGAATTGTGGTGCTGGAGAAGCTTCTTGAACATACCATAGACTGACAAGAAATAAATAGACCTGTCTTGGAGAATGTGAGTTCAAGTTTCTTCTTGGAATCTAGGATTTTGAACCTTTCACATACTTTGAGCATGTGGCCAGGAGAGATCAGTCCTTGGAGAAGGACATCATGCTTGGAAGGGTGGAGGGGACAGTCCAGGAGAGGAAGACACCAAATGAGATGAATTGATACAGTAACTGGGGCAAAGGGGGTTGGTGTGTCAGAATTAGTGAGACTGGCTCAGGATAGGGCAGGGTTCAGAGCTGCTGTACATAGGGTCGCTATGGGTCTCAGGCAACTTAACAGCACATGACAACAGCTACATAGTTTAAAAATAAGAAAATACTACAAACACTGACTAAAGGAAGAAATGCATTGAAACATTGAATAAGGATAGCAATAAACACGTAAGCTTAAACAGCACATCACAACTATTTGATTGGCTATCAATGTATGATTGGAACCTAGGATAGGCGTATGACAGCTAAACTACACACAAGCTGCAAAGTCCAATTCTGTCCCTTGTCCCCTGTGCCCAAACTTCACTCCTCACTACTCACTAGATAGTGGTCAGTGTTGTTCCCTTCCCTAACCTGCTTCTCACA